CATCCCTTCTGATGCAGCGAGAGGTTTGGGGGGCTCTTCAGTGTGCAGGTGCCCCTGCCCTGGGAGAGCTTCTCTGTGCTGGGGCACCCACACCCCAGCAGAGTCTGCACAGGTCAGATGTTCCATCTCTTGGGAAAACGCTCTGAGCTGTCATGTCCTCTGCTCTCCCCGCCGACAAGGCTGACTGAGCTGCTGTTGACCTTAGGTTTCAACACCCCTGACGCGTGGCCGTGCTCTGCCAGAGAGAGGTTCCTGGCGCTGGATGAGCCTGAGGTTTGAGCTGTCAGCAGAGTTGACCTTCAAAATGCCAGTGACAGCGGGGTGGTGGGATTCATCGAGGGAGGGAGCAGGAGCAGACCTGTGCCTGGGTGGAATCAGAGTTAAAAACTCTCCCTCTCACCTTGGCTGGGAAGGAAATGCTGCAGATGCTGGAGGAATGAGCAAGGAGATGGAAATAAATTTGCGTGGAGGAGAGGATGCTTGGGGGGAAGAGTCCTCTGCATTTCTGTGTGCTCCCCTGATGCCTCTTTGTTGGGTTGGAGGGCATGTGCCTCATGCTGCCCCCCCTACAACGTCTGTGTGGCTGGATACCCTCAATAACATCTAGAATGAAGTGTGCAAAAGGACTCAGCTGAACTGGGAGCTCTGGGGGTCAGGCCAGGCTCCTCTGCCATGGGGTTTCCCTTTGGGAAGGAGCAGTGCAGCATTCGGAGCAGCATGGAACATTGGGAGGGCACAGGAGCTATTGCATGAAGCTCTGAGGGGGCCTGTCAGCCTCCCCAGCAATGCCCCCAGCTCTGCAGCCGCCGTAGCTCTGGCTTCTCAGCTTGGCCTGTAATTGAGCATCCTCCGTGCTGCGGGGGGAGCTGGGATTTAGCCAGTCTGCCGGCCTAAGTGATGAACCCGAGGCTGTGGGTGTGGAGGTTGCTGCTGGTGGTGGTGTCTGAGATGGCAGCATCTCGCTGACCAGCCTCCCAGGGACCCCCAGCCGCAGCAGCAGGGTGTCTCAGGGGTCCTGGCCCCAAAACTCACAGCCTGGGCATTTCTTTGCCTGGCTGGGGTGGAGGGTCCAGTGCTCGGCTGATTTTCCAGCCCTGGGGGAGAAGGGAGGTGACCTTTGCCAAGCCTGCCTTGCTGCTTTTGCCCTCTTTAGCTGCTGGAGACAAAGCCATACCAGAGCCCGTGCCGTCCCTTCCTGTGGGGCTGGGGAGGTGTCTCTGTGCTCGTCGGGATCTTTCAAGGAGGTGTCAGCTTCTGGGAAGACTCTGCAGCCGCTTTGTGCTGGGGCTGGGTGGCGGTTTGGGGC